ACCTCGCGTTTGCTCAACAAAAATACGAAGAAAATCACTTGATCAATGCCGAGGTTAATAGAAAGTCGGTCGTGGCAGAAGAGAAGATTTTTTTACGTCTGTATAGTATAAAGAGGACAGGACATTTACGCAACAAAATAGTGTGACACGTTAGAAAACAAAACTACTGTATGGTAAAAATTCTCTCTTTCGCTTTCAGTTTGTGGAAGAGCTATTGTGAAACGCCCACACAAAACAGTACCTTATTTCAGGAGTGGGGGAGGTTTCCATATGTGGGGCTTCATCATCGTCGACAAAAATAAATGGAACATCAGTAGAAGGCAGCTGAAAAAAAAGTATTGGATTATGTTCCGGAAAAAAAACTCGAGCGGCTTACTTTAGGCGGTTCGCTTGTTCTCGGCATCTCTTGGAATGCTGGAGGCGCAGGCTTTGGCTGGGTTTCCGGAATCCTCACGCTGTAAGAGAGTTTTCAGGGTTCCCTTCATAGAATATGTTGTTGAAAAGTCGTTTTCATTCAGAATAGCATATAAAAGTCGTAATTTGAAAGGTTTAACTTCTATTCTATTCTATTAACTGAATTCTGCATTACTCAAAAATGTTTCCAAGTGATGTCTCATGATTACTTTTAAGAGATATTTCACTGTGGTGTTCGATTGCCCATTTTTCCACTCTTCATGATGACTTTTTCTTAATTTAACATGACCCGTCATGACATCTACTGTGTGGATCCCAGTACTTCCTGAATTTGAATTGTTTTTGTCGCATTCATCATTAACGACGACCCTCGAATATTTCGCACGTTGTTTCTGCTGATACTTGAAGATTTCGTCTTTTTTATCAATATTGTGGAATACTGGTCGAGTCGATTCCTTTCACAGTTTTGGGATAGCTGAGCTAAGGCAGACGCTCCCACATAGATTGGGAGTAAGCATTGCGTACTGTGCCTAACTAGAAATTTTGCTTCCTGATTACCGGCATCACTTACCACTACGCTATCCCCTAACGACATTTACATAAATTAAAGAAAACAAGAACAAAATGAAACAATGAAAGATGCTACGGTGCGATAAGCGAGCAATTAATAACGAAATAAATCCTTAGGATATTTTTATCGTACCCTGAAATTTGCGCTTGGGCTAGTAGAGCGTCATGGTTGCACAAATCTCCTTGACAAAGACAGTAGTTGATAAGGCCGCCATTAGCAGTTGCACAACCACTTCGAACATCCGATGACTCCACAAACGATTCCGCTTGCGCCTCCGAGACACATCGTTTCTCCATAGTGAAGGTTGCTTGAAGTGAATCGTTAACCATAGAAAGACAATTTATTAAGAAAGAAAAACGAGGAACAGAACAACGTTAAAGCCTGCGCCGGAAAAAATTCACAAAAACATGTAACTCCTTCTCAGCTCGATTAACTATGGTATGAATAGCAACTTGACAGAGGAATATTCACGAGCTCGAGTGGTGGGAAGGAGGGTAAACCAAAAGGGAACTTTCGTGCACATGTCGGTCTTTTGAATTCGCCACAATCATAAAGCGTTGAAGTCTATGCAAAAAACCTTTATAATTTTGATTATATGTGGCCCCACTACGGAACTCGGGAAATTATCTGTTAGAGTTGCAGAAACCTCATAATTTCTACCTTGAGAATTTTTCGCAGTGGAATTATAAGCAAAAATGACGAAAGATTCTAGCATTACTACTCTTGGTAAGGAACATAGTTAACGAAATTTCAACTAAAAGTACTCCGGCAGTTTTCACGCCGGCTTCGAATGACTCACCGTCCTCGTGCTGCGTCTGCCTGGTGAGGCAGAACGTCTCGATAGCGGAACAGAGAGCCGGCGCGCTCGTGGAGCAGTCGGTCGTCGGATCGGACATCCCGGACTCCAGGCATACCGCACATCTCAACGCCGACTGCAACAAATACATGTCCTATTTCTTCATCCGACGTGACTTTGCCAGAGATATGGTATGGAAGCAAATTGAGTGGGGTGCATAAATTATAAGGCACTGTGTGAAAATCCGCTGTTCAGGTTCTCATTTTCTCTTAGATTTGCATGAAATTAAATATGCTTAGGCAAATAAAGTGATTCCAAAATCAATCGTCAAATTTTTTGTCGAATGGCTGGGCTATGGATGATATGTGTCTACACTGTGCCCCTCTTAACAAGATGCTAGTATCAGCGACATAGTCGAGAGTCCATCGTCAAATCGTTACACTCTGTTCAAGCTATAATGATAGCGACTGCTGCAGGATGGACTATCCGGAAAAGAAAAAACGATTATGAACGAACAATCAGTTCCTTCATTCGGGTGGGGCTCCACTAGATCCGACTCGATGCGATCATCAAGACCCTTATTAGGAAAGGAAACGATTGTGGAAAATCGATGCAGACGGCTCTGAAAAATGCGAAGGCACCGAAAGGTTAGCCGAATCCGATTCTTTCTATCACTATCTTGTTAGCTTATGAAGGAAAAAATTCACCAACAATATTCAGACCAAGTGAACAAGCAAGTGAAGCAGTTACAAAAAAAGGACTGACTGCTTATAAGACAGCGCTCATCACAGGTAAGTTTAGAAATATTTGGAGATCTCATTCGCTTCAGAGAGGTATGCTAAGTGAGACGGCGATCAAAGCAGTTTAAAGAAGTATAGTCGATAATAATAGTCAGAATTGTTTCTCCATCTATCCGAACCATGACGAACATTGTATACAACTTTTTGTAGCTTATCCTTTCCAGTTTATCTGTTCTTATTGTAGAAGAAGAGTCAGCGAAGCTAAAGGGGAAAGCTTCATCTTAATCGGAGGAGGGTGAACCTTCTGATTCACAAGGACCATCGAGTGATGTGACGACGTGCGGACGCCTTAGCAGAGTTATGAAAGGATTCTATCGAGAACCATTTCCACCAACACTTTACATGTCAATGAAAAACGAAAAGTGTCAAACCGCAGATGAATTCAAAAGCGAACCTGCCAATTTTCATAGCTGACGATTGCAGCACAATGAAACGATTCAAAAAGGTTAAGGTGACCACAATATCTAAGTACAGACATTACAGAATATCTAAATATACGATTTGACATAATAATTTTGAAAAAGTTCGGTTGAATTGTTCTCTAGTTTTCGGCTCGGTTTTGGAGGCGATGACCTGCTTAACACTCTTGCGACAAGTGACATCTCTAGATGTCACAATGGCTTTTGCGAAAGTTTCCAATAAGACACATATAGGTGTCACAATGGGCATAGCGAAAAACTAGCCATCGTACACTGTAAAAACGCGAAATTAGGTGCCGTCGAGAGAGCGTTAAACCGTTTAATCCTTCCACTTGTTGATTTTAAGAGGACAACCTTTTGAGTATGGATAGGTTCATTTGGATCCCGTAAGCCAGCTGCTAGCGATGAACGTGGGTTTCCATTGCTCTGAAAAATAACTGGCTATACTGCACTAGCTGTGCCTCAAATGAAATTTAGGAGTACCAAAACTCTCAGAGTTTCGACATCTTTGCGTTGTGAAGTTACGAATATTTCCGTTCGTAAATAATTCCCTGTTTGTATTAAATTTTATAGGTGATTTTTGTTACAATTTCACTAGCATTATAGATCAAACTAGTTGAGAAAGAGGTGAAACGAAGGACCAGCATGGTGTAGTGATGAACGTGTTAGTTCCTGGAAAGGGTAATAGCGCGTTCGTTCCCTGCCGCAGACACTTGTGGTCCGCAGTTTTGCAAATATCTCAGCAACATTGTTGTTGCTTCACACGTAATATCCCGCAGTGAAAAAATGCAATGGGCAGTAAATAGAAAGTTCACGTTATAATTTTACTTCAAAATTCACTGAAAATGGTGCAAGGTTGAATTTCTAGAATTAATCAAACCCCATCTCGACTCTCAAGGAAGGAAGTTTTGAGAGGAACAGTGAACAAAGACAGTGATGTTTGGTGTCAGATGGCATTGCGACGATGCTCACTGTACGGAAATCTTTTTTTATTCCATTATAGATCACACTGCTAAATATCAATTTTTAACCACTGTAACTTAAAAACTACTAATATTAGAGTACTAAATAATCCGTTTCTTCTCTTGGGTCTTCTGGATACATTATAACAGTCCAGCTAGAGCTTACCAGTTCTGGTGCAGATTTGCCGCTGGGAGCTGTCGGTACAATTGGCAGCACATCCGACAGTGACTCCTTACCCCTCAAAAAGTATTCTCGAGACAATATAGTATCAGTTGGAAGCTTTGTATGCTCGGGTATTGGTGCCCCATGGTGATGTTGAATAGAGAGCTCTCCCGCCGCCGACGAGCTCTTTGCAGGCATTTCGGGAACACCTGGAGGAGGTAGCGATGCTGGTGGCTGTATTTTCACAACCGGTGGCAACGCTTCCGTCTTAGTGTATTGAGCAACCTGAAAAGTGAAATAAGTTAGGATTCCAAGAAATCATCGATATCGCATGTCCTCGTCTGTGTTGGCTCTAGAGACTGCAGCTTAAATGTCTTACGTGATTTTCAGTTGCTATGGCACGCAGTGCGTAGCAGATCTAGCTCTGAACAGTTGAAGAACGCTTGCTCACTCATAAAGAATAGATTATCTGAAAGGCTCTTAACAAATGTGCTAGACTTTCAGCTAGCGTTTTGGTTAGAATTCAAGTTAGGACTTTGTTGTACTAATCATTTGTGAAAAGATAATTCTCGTAGCGTTTTCTGGACTCGATCCGCTTCTGAACATTAGTCTTTTTTACGTCAAAAGGTGGGAGTGAAATTGTTCTCGTTCTACATCTTGAGGTGCTTTGATAGTTTCCCTTGAGACAAGTTCTACACCTCGATGAACTTTGCAGTTTTTCTTGAGACAACTTCCCTGACTAATGGGTTTTGCAAAATCCGTAATGACTGCCTCCTACGAAAAAACATTGTTGTAGGAGGTACACCACCGCCGATTGGTAACATTAGTGACTTTGTCTTGAATTCTTTGAAAAACCCTCTTTTTCTCATAAACGAGAAACCACTGTTTCCTCAATTCTCTCTACTAGCTCTTGAATAATTTGAGATTTTATATTTAAGTTGCACAAAATCACCATAGCAACGTCGGAGAATAGAGCCCGATCCTCTAAAACTGGTAGAGAAGATTAGTTCATGGAAGATTAGAACCAATGATTTCTTCTTTAGTTGAATGCCAAAAACTACTGCACAAGCGTCGGTCCAATTCGCTGTCTTAGTTTAGTAGGAACTTCAAGGGAGAGTTCTAGGAGGGAACAAAGTGAGTATATAAGTAATAAGTAGCACATCTCTATAAGTATGAACAACACCTTCAACTTGATTTTCTTTTTTAAACTTAGTCATGACGACACGTTGAAAGTCACGGTTTAGTGCATTTGCGCGCGCGCTCATTGAAGTGGCTTGTAATTTTAAATAATATTTTTGACATCATATCATCTAAATCCTACAAGAAATAACGCTCTCTAAAGCTATTTCAAGTGGTTCAGTGCGAAGTACCTGTGATGAAATTGCTACAGAATTGCATTGGTTGGCGCTGCACGTGCAATAGCGTACTCTGCCCTGACTGGTTTCCCCGCACGAATTCATTGTGGACGTCGGGAACTCTGCCTTCACGGCTTGCCACGACACGCACATTTTCTCGACAGCAGCTTGACCTGTGTATCAGAGATCTCGGTTGAACTGGAGCGAATGTAATGTCGATTAAAAGCCTTTAATAGTTCTTTCATAGTGCTCGACATTTGAAACTTCATTTGAATGTTTTATTAACTATTTAAGAACTGAAATGTTGCTTGAACTAAATTCTGAACTCATTTTGCCATGTTGTTCTCACCTCGTCCGAGAAGTGTTTGCCTAGTGAAGCAGACGGGATCCGACTCTTGACAGTCAACGACAACTTGTCGATTGCAGTCAGAATCCTCTGAGTGTAGATCAGACTCTCCGCACTGCGAACACCTCAGTCCTATAAAACAATTCTTGACGAGAAAAAGAAACTTTATCAATCATCTCAGTCATCTGCTATACGTGATGATTGCCAACAACTGAGAATCACAGCAAGACGTAGTGTCATTAGATTGGATGACATGAGAAGGGGAACAAATGGAATGTGGAAGTCACGCGAAGTTAGAAATTTGGAACGTCCTAAACTTCTCGGTTGTCATTCTCAAGCGATTACGAGTCCTACGGAATCTTAAGAATCCAATTATTCAATGACATTTTGAAATTGGTGGTTTTTCGAATTGTTGTATGCTTCCAATTAATTGGAGATGCCTAGTTTACATAGATGTAGGCGTTCGCCTGACTAGGCCAAATTGCTAAGCGAAACCACAACATTAACAATCAGTGGAAAGGATGTGGCGGCTCAAAGACGTTCAACATTAAGGATTCGAAGCTGATTCTTCGCAAACTGCTGGTGATTTTTCGGTAACCGGAATACTTGAAGGGTTCGAAACGCGGTTAGCGTATACAACAAACCTATATCAACTTCTGTTTGAAGTGACTGTGGTTCTTAACCGTTTTTATTTACTGCCTACTCTTTTTGATGGTAGGGTATATTGCGAAATATAGCTTCAATGATGCTGAAATATTTGCAAAACTTCGGACTGCAAGTGTATGCGGTGGGGAACGAACGCCCTATTGTCCTTTCCGGCGAGTAACGCGTTCACCACCACACCATGCGGGTCCTTCGTTTCGCCTTTGTCTCAGCTAGTTCTACACCTGCGGTCCGGAGTTTTCCAAATATCTCAGTATCATTGACTGTGGTTCTTTGAAACCGTTATATGATTTTTGAAGTCGTTTACAGTCGGAAACTTAAGACAGAGTGTAACTCAAAATTAATTTTTAGAAATTCCACACGAAATGCTCCAAGCTCGAAACCCCCTTCAGGCATTTTGTGACATTATCTGATCTAAGAGGAAAAATACTGCTCGTTCGACTACTTTTATCTTTGAACTAAGAGCCTAGACTTAAAAAAGATTGGTAATGTTTGGAGTTCTAGGCTCCATAAAATCAGGATTTTATGTCTTCAGAGTAAGAGATCGTGCATTTTATTGGTGAAGGCCTGCCCACTCTTATGGTGTTTTTTCAATCAACCAAATTAACTTTATGCTGAGATATACTGGTTTAAAGTGGAAGGCGGTCGAAATTTCACCGTCGTTTAGGTAGAAATCCATTCACGTCGGACTTTCAAAATCAAAAGAGTAAATTATGGTTGCGTTAAAAACGTCGCAGTTTCTCAATGCTTCATCTCTACCAACTATTTGCTACCGGTGAAAGTACTCATGAAAACACATTCTCGTGAATTTTCACCTGAACAGCAACGGATGGAGGTTTTTCTAAAATGGCGAAAAAAAAGTTTAAAAAAAGTATTCGTTCACTTATGAATTGCTAGTGATCATTCGACAATATTTTATCCTACTTACTTGGATACTTGGATGGCCCGTCCTCACTGGTTGTGTGGACCTCAGCATAATCTCCGTTTTTACGGAGATTGGCTGTTTTGTCCATTGCGGTTCCTTGGAGTTCCGTGGCCAGCCACACTAAAGTATGCCTCAGGTCTTCACCACCACAAGTAGTCATGGCTCTTTATGGATCAAAGGGAGATTTGCCACCATGCGATTAGTTTGGTACCAGATGATGATGAGACGAATAGGCTGTAAACTGTTGAGAGGGATATTTTATACTTTATGGCTTTAATAAAAAATTATCCTCCTAACGGTCTACCGCCTCATCTTGGCTGGGAGGTGTTCCTGGGTGTCGGACTGAGATGTACAGTGGGAAAATTCGTCTACCCGACAGGGTCTCCCAAGCTGAAGAGTCCGGCGTTTCCATTAGAAAGCCTAGCTAAGAGTAAACCAATAACAGGATCCACCACCATCCTGGTATCAAAGTCGCATGGCGGCAAATCTCCCTCTGATCCACAAGGGCTGCAACTGCCTACTGTGGTGACGACCTGGGGCATACTTTGGTTAGGCTGTCCTTGGGAATCCAGGGAACCACAATGGCTTAACCAATAAATCTCCGAAAAGTGGTGATTATGCTGGGGCCAGAACAACTAGTGAGGACGGGCCGCTCAAGTATCAAGTAGGTAAGTAAAAAAATTATAAAATTCGTGCCACTGTTGGTCTGCCACATTTCTTAGTTGGGGTTTTACCAAAGAATAATGAGATAAGTGAAACAGACGATAACGAAAGCAAAAATCATTTAATGTTTTCTTTTTTAAAAATTTTTTTCGCCTTCGAAAAAAGAATAGTGCACTGTACCTGTGGACACTGCTTGCAGTTCTCGCGCAGGAAGAGGTGCTGTAACGGCCACAACATGGTGATTTATTCCTGTATTTCCGATGAAATTCCCTTGGCCACGTGACAAAGTTTCATGTCGCTCTCCTGAACATTTTTCACAACATGACGGTTACGGACGAAGAAGTTGTCCCGTAATCAATGCAGAATTTCTTTGTTAACGGTTGAAAACGGTTTCCAATACCTGGTAGCTCATCTGCAGATACAGAAAAATTGATGGTCTTCTCTCTGGTAGGAAGTTGCGCACGCCTGATTTCTGACTCGATTCCGGGAACATTCACCTGAATCGCTAACGTGTTCGATAAGCCAGTGTGGCTCCATTCAAAAGGTTCACTTTTTGACGACGTTTCAAGAAAAAAGTTCGACGATTAAACAAAGGGTGAATATATGACTTTTTATCTACCGCGCACTACTTTTCATGGCGGCGCGTTATGTAAAATGCAACTACAATGATTCTGAGATATTTACAAAGTTTGGTCAGCAGGCCAGACCGAACTACGACTACCCTTTCTGGGGCTCACGTGTTCCCCACTGCACCGCTGAGCCCGTCGCTTTGGCTTTCTCTCGGCCAGTTTTGTACCCTAACGGTTACCTCAACGATCACCCGTCGACGGGAATGACTTGGGAAGCAAAAAACGGCATTGGACCCAGTTAGCTGAGGCTGTAGAGTTTTCTGACTAATACATTTATGAAAAAAATGGCGCCAGCAACAACTTTTGAAATTTCCTTCCGAGGAACTCGCTTATCAGGCTTTTTCGCTCCGAGGTTATGCATCAAAATGAACGCAAGCTAGTCTTAAGGTTTTTCAAAAATTTATTTCAACTAATTACCAAGCTGGATTATGTAGTTGGTTGCGAGAGGTAGTCCATTTCAGCTGTAGATTTCACTGGGAAGCAGGTTATCACTGGTCGACGAAAGACATCAGAAAGTTGGGCAAATTTCGAATGACAAGCGAGGCAGTTCACTATCATAGCGTCAAGTTGTCCATTCAGACGTTAAACAAATGTCAGGTTTTCATTAAACAGTGGATTACGATGAAACGATATGAGACTGTGAAAGGATGAGGAATTCACCTGCACCATGGATTCGCAGATGGATACCGATGAACATCGCAAAAAAAGCATGTACCAGTACATTGGATTTGCACACGAATCAACTTTGACTTCACTTGAATCTTATCTCGAATATTCTGCCAATTTTCCTCTTTCTCTTTCTTTTTCTCTGTCTACCTATTTATCTATTAGAAGAAAAAATAAGTGTTGTACTAACTCTGGGATCGTTTACAGGAATAATAGGTGGAAGAGGCAGCGAGGGTGCAGCGAAATCAACCTTGGAAGAAGATTGTGCTATCGGCATCGCGTCATTAGCACTGCTATGTGCCGTACCGCTCCGTTCAAGGTCGATGTCTCCAAAAAGCTCAGGATTCTTCTGCAATGGACTTCTGCAAAAGTTGTAGTGAGAAAGCTCCGCACTCACTCTAGTTGGTTGCCTACTGCTTTTGTGAATACCGCACAAAAATATCGTACCTTGAAACAGACATAACATAACTCAAAAGACTGACTTTCTATAAATCTCGGCATAGATAGTTGATATATTTATTTATTTAAACCTATAAACTGATGTGAGGTTGGTATGGGTATTCGTTGTCGTTGCTGTTGGTGTTGTTGCTCGATGGCTGACGTATCGGCGATTTCGCCTTCCTCAGAGGCGAGCTGTTACGAGTGGGATACCGTACTATTCGAGTAGGACGCCGTACTTCTCGTAACAGCACGGCTTTGAGGAAGGCGAAATTGTCGAAACGTCAGCCATCGACCAGCAACATCAACAGCAACCACAGCAACAACAATGACGACAACGAAGACCTATACCAACATCGCAGCAGCTTGAGAAGATGAAGATCGGTTTATAAGATTTTATAAATAGACATAACATAGCTTAACGTAAGATGAAACCTAAAAATACCTCTTCGAATGCAATGAACTGATCGGCTATGGAAGCCTTATTGCAAAGATTGTGACTGCGACAGATGCAGTAGGCTACCTAGAAGTAATCTCTTTCTTCGGCATTACTTCGTAATAGTGCCTTAAGTCTCTTCGTTCATTGTACAGTTTTTTGCGATAAATAGTTTAATAAATGGACAAGTTAAATCAACCTAGATAAAACGAAAACATGTTTTATTGAATTAGCGTCTACTTGAAAGGCCTTGATGCTGTTTTAAATGATCAATCAGTCTCAGGCCACATCTAAAAACTTTGAAAATGGGCAGTGATGAAGAAAGCCTGGCAAAACATTGTCGCCATTCAGTAAAACAAACATATTTGTATGATTTAAGCCGCGCATTTTTCCCTCTCAGTTACAGTACGTGTTATACCTATAAAAACGAGTGCATGTGGCGCAGTGGTCGGAGGCGCCCTGCGACACACACGTGGGATCGATCTCTGGGCCCGTGGTTCACTAACCCCCCCTCTGTCCGCGTTGTGTAAGTTGATACCAGACTTATCCGCTGGGAGGATAGCTGCACTGGCTTGATACATCGGTAAGCCACCCGAGTCAGTGTAAAGGCCAGATGTGAATTCAATCACCCCCAACGATGCTTAATGAGGTCGAATGCATGACGCTTTCCTCAAAAATTGATCAACGCGGGCAGCTTTATCCTTTATTATTTATCCAGTTATAATGAAAGAAATTTGCCCTTGGAACTCCAATTCTACTTCTAGTTTTCTGAATTTTAAATCAAGATCGAGACTGCGAAAAGCTTATGGCATTCTTCACTAAAGTGTGCCCTTCTGCTACCTCTCATGGCCTCGAATAGAAGAATTGCATTGGACGGAAAGAAATTCCAGGACGAGATCATAACTAGTGCATCGATTGTAATGGCGTCTAGTGAACCTTCTGAGGAGATCCAACATTGCGATTGATGAGATCAGCACCATTTATATGTCTTAGTGTCGTCCACCCGCAGTGATTACGACTTTACTTCAACTTGGTAGCGATTATTATCCAAAAAAGCTACGTTCAACAATAATACATGCTTAGTGAGTTAGTGTTATAAAACTCATAGCTACACACAATGATGATGTTGATTAATCCCTGAAGGACGTGCCATACATTCGACTTCATCAAGCACATCGTTTGAAGGTCATTCAATACATATCCGGCTTTTACAATGACTCGCGATACTCTACCGACGTATCGAGTCAGTGCTGCTATCCTCGCAAACAAGTCTGGTGCCAATTTGTTGACCCAGGAGAGATAAAGGCTTGGTGAGCCACGGAAGCGGAGATCGATCCCATGCGTGTGTTGCAGGGCGCCTCCGACCGCTGCGTCACGGGCGCAGACGTTCTGCTGAAGCAACTAGGAAATTATGACAGATCACCTTTTACTCTTTTTGGATAGATGGAGTTAATTTGAAAAAAGTTTCTATCGGATGGATTTTGCTAGAAATGATTCCTTCGATAACTTTACCTCCCAGTTGTAGACATATCGCTAAGAATTCTTTCAACAAGGGGAAGAGTTAGATTCATGGATGAACTAGAATAGTGGAGGTTAAAACAAAATAAAGACTAACGACGGTTTAGTCATGAAGACCAGATCTTTCCCATATTTTCCTCGTCCGATGAATCCGAGTAATCATAAACAGGGATAGAGCAGCAAAGACATCAAGTAGCTTAGGCGACCTTCGATTGCCAGGGAAATCAAACGAAAAGCTGATCTAGCAATCCCTTTTACCCACTTACATATGTCAGAAATGTTCTTATAGCAGACAGATAGCAGTGAAATGTGCCTACTGTGGTTCGTCAGGTCCTGAAAACAAGAAATCAGAATCTAAACTTCGGAGTTGGGGGTGACTAATAATGAGTTTGCGGCTATTGACAGCCGTGTCATAGCTCTCATACACGAATGTTATTACTTGCAGTAAGAAAGTAGCATGAACGACGAAGAAAACGAAAAGGGGTCAATGGAGAACGTGCTTCACCGGTAGTCACCACTAACCAACTTGTGTGCAGGTTTTTGGTTCCACTTAGTTAATTTATGACGCTATTTGAACGAGAAAATGACCTCGTCATAACTAAAGAACTATCACGAAAACTTTGCTTTCGGAACGCTATACCTCTTCTCCATTCACTTCTGCAAGGTCGCATTCCTCCTCGATCGTATAACCCTTACCGGGAAAGGTGCGATAGTGATCCTGCTCAGAGATGCATTCCTTCATAACAGTGTAAGTGTCTGAAATTAAAGAATCGCTTGAAATTGAGGTCGACGACTCGTTCTGACCTCATTTTCTGTGATCAATGGCCCTTAATAGTATAGCATTGGAGACACACTGAGAACTATATGAATCACTAAGTCGAAAGAGTTCCGTGCCAAAAAGTTTCCTCAAGATGATTTTGAAGTTTTCAAGGAGCAAAAAGAAAAAACCACATCCGTTCAGCTCAACCCAAAAGCAACAACACTTTTTGAGATGTTGCTGAAAAAGGCCGTCAAGAATGAAGCAGAACAATTAAACTGGTATCTATAGAAGTTACCAACTGTTTGGAGCTTTGTGTCTGGTTGTTCGACAATAGATGGTTTCATCGCGAGGAAATCTCAAGGAGTAACTCTGGCAGTCATACTGGAAATGAATTCTAGAAGATTCTTTAACCTGTTTGATTGTTAGATGGACGTCAAACCTGGAACTGCGTCGAGCACTCTTCGAATTCTTCGAGGTTGTTGTCGCCACAAATATAGCACGACAGCGACCATACTGAAACGATAAACTGATCATGTACTGCTGCTTGTTTAGACGAATTTTTTTCTGTGCTTTGTTCATTGCCATGATCTGGCACCTTTTTTCTTATTAGAAAGCTTTTGGCTGTGCCTCAACTTCTTTCAGTCATAGAATCTCAATATATTGCAGTGACATACAAAACTCCTTCGAACTCCACCATCCGACTGAGGTAAGGTAAAAGTCATTAAGCTAATATCTAGCTAATTTCATTTTTTTCACCAATGATTTCACTCATAGGTGAAAGCTGTGTGCATACCTTTTTCGTCGAAGCAGCGCAAACTCCTTGAATAATTTTGTGCGATGTCTCCCGCGGAAATGGACAGAGTTCAAATATTAAAAATGGCAGAGAAAATTCTAGTTTGGATGGCTCTTGATGACAATAGTCAAATATTTATTGGATAATGAAAGGATAAAAGGATAAGGCTTTCAGCTTTGATGAAACTCTGACGGATTCGCCATGCATTCAACTTCATTAAGTATCGTTGGTGGTGATTGAATGCATATCTGGCCTTTACAATGACTCGCGGTAGCCTACCAATGTTTTGACCCAGTGCTGCTATCCTTTCAGACAAGTCTAGTACCAATTTTCTGACCCCGAAAGAATGGAAGGCTTTGTGAGTGGCCGGTGCAGGGACCGATCCCATGTGTCCATTGCAAGGTGCCCCCGACCACTCCGCCACACGCGCAGCTTTTTGCTGGCAACCGTAGAAAATTTACAAACTCTGAGATTCTTTTCCACTGAAAAGTGAATAATGTGGTCAAGTCAGAGGCGTATTTGGTACATTTAATATGCGAACGAGAAAATTTTTGCAAAAAATGTTTGTGCTCGCTGTTTTCGTGTTTGATAAACAGAAATATAAAAATAATTGTTTATTCAGATTGCTCAGCTTACACGAGGCTGTTATCAAACTTTCACTCGGCTAACGCTTCGACGTCTTTGCCTTACTCAGAGCCGTTAATCTGAGTCGATGGTCCACTATCGTTCGCATTTATTAACGCCAAGGTTAAGTGAAAGTCGATTTAGCCAATTATTATTTGGCTATGTGCTTGCTGCTGTAATACCAAATGGAAAAGAAGTCATCAGTCGACAATCAGTCAGCAAATGTCTTATACAAAGGAGCGCTGAAAGGTGATGTTGCGTCATTTGAGCAGTGCTCCAATGAAGAATATTCGACTCGATACTATGACGAAGACCTCACATCGAGAGGGATAGCGACTGTGGACCATTGATTTTGACCATCGTCTCTGAGGAAGGCGAAAACATCGAAACGTCAGCTAAACAAAAGCTTTGTAGTAACCTCGTATAAGCTGAGCTATCTAAACCAATAAATTGATTACTCATTCCGAGGTTAATAGGAAGTCCGTTTAGTTAAATACTATTTCTTTTTGAACATTTATTTACCGCCTATTATTCTTTCACGGCAGCCTATGACGCGGAACACAACCACTACGATAGTGAGACGCTTGCAAAACTTGAACCCCAGTTCAGATTCGAACCAGCAACTACCCTTTATGGGGGATCATGTGTTACCCACTGTACCACGGAGGCCCGCACTTTCACTTTCTCTCAGCCAGCCTTTTTTCACCTTAATAGTGCCATCAGCAATCACCCGTCAACGCGAATGTTCTGAGAATAACAAATCGGCATTAAACAATGTTCAGCTGAGGCTGTAGTCGAAATCACAGTGTACAACTGTTTGCCGATCGCAGCATTAGGGTAAAAAACTGGCTGAGAGAAAGGCGAAGCAAGATCCTCCATGGTAGAGCTGGTGACACATGAGTGCCCGAAAGGGTAATCGAAGGTTTGAATATACCCTAGGGTCCAAGTGTTGCAAATATCTCAGCATCATAGTGAGTGTACTATTAGTTTGCCTGTTTACGTAACCAGTCATCTCGTCTATTGCGCGGTTTCCAACACTTCTTGCATTCTATCCGCTTTCCTTGCACCCGTCATCCACAAAGATCCTGAAACATTTGCGTGTTGTTTGCAGCTACTTGAGGATTTCGTCTTTCTTGCGAATATCGTGGAATACTGAGTCGAGTTGATTCTTCTTGCAATCTTGGGGACAGCCGATCTAGCAAATCCTGCATGGATTACAGAAGGGCGTTGGTGAGGGGTCGAACCACAGCCTTTTTTTTCCTGATAAACTGCACCACTAAGCACACAGATAGTTTAGGAAAAGAAACAAGAATAGAAGCGAATCCGAAATCTCCAACATAAGACGCCAACAAAGCGTAGAGACAGGGTCTAAATTTTTAAATAGTTTTTTAAATTTTTTTTCGTACTACAATGGACACCCAAGGGTTTCGAATATTGAGAAGAAATCCAAAATTCTTTTAAAGTGAGCAATCAATGCTTAAGTCGATGCCACCATTCCAGCCTTCTTAAATGGAACCTAATCACAAGACGCAAACAGCAAGAGAAACAAACCTTTTCCGATTCACATGAGGAGTTGAGCAGTTGTGGCTACAAGCTGACCCTTCGTCACGCCATTATTTCTAGATTCTAGACAAGCCCAGAAAAACAGCGATGCAATGAAGACTGTATGGACCTGATATATAAATGGGGTGACAAAAGTTGCAATAGTAACGGCAGCTTAGTTCTTGCGGATCTCAGGGTTTAGGGCAGTTCTTTCAAAGTTTTCTTATACTGTTTTCATTTATATGTTCTAATAATCACTTTAGACGTCCGAATATCTCTTCTATTCTTTCAACTAGTCTTCCATCAGTTAATAATAGAATAGAATACACGACATATTAACACGGTCGCACCCGGAGAAATAAAAAGATATGACCAGTTTCTATTGACACTTTCGGTGGTCTATCCATTCTCTACTTGGTAGTAAGCGAAGTGAGACAATAATGGAAAACTACTGCGCAATTTTACACGAAGAGAAACCCGAGGCGAAATGGTAGCTATCCTCGTTGTGCCATTCGTCATCTGCCTGCTTAAAAGTTCTTCATTCGATCTCTAGTAGGATTGACAGAAAATTGGAAGAAGGGGTCAAGAAGAGCAGTCGTACGAGCAAGCGGTGTTCCCAGCGATGTGGGTCAAATTCACACAGTGAAGAAACATTAATAAAGTGTGGCGAAAGCGTAATGCGCATCTATGCCTTGTTTTCTTTAAGTTTGGGAAGAAAGGCGTCTGAAGAATCGGAGGCAGTGGCGACTATCTAAGGAAAAGCACACTAGCATCAGCACATCAGCATCAGCAGCATCACACTTTCCATGGGCCATAGGGTACAAGTATACCGCTATTTCTCAACAGCTACTGTGGAACCCTTTGATAATGCGTTGCTATTTAGAACAAGAAGGCTACTCACTATTTATACAACTTCAGTTCCAACCGAGCAAAAAGAGAGGAGCAGCTTCGCGAAGCTGCTTGAACATCGATTAAAAAAAAGAAGTAGACCAAAGAGGACTCCCATGTCGCGATCTCCTTTTTATTCCACGGGCTTTTACTTGTATGCTGGGAAAAGGAATCCAGATTTTACGACATGCAACAATGTAGATTTTATTTGTTCAGTTCGTGAATCCCCTTTCGTTTAGAGACTCTGAGCCAGTTAATCGCAAAAATACACAATATGTCCGATGGCGCAAAACGGGTGAAAGTTGGACCAATGGCGACCTTGTAAATGCTTTGAAGCACAAGTGGATTCAGTGAGTGGACTCCTTGTTTCTATCCAGCCGAATTCATGCATTCATTCACCGTGCACATGTACAATTTACCACCTTGCGTATGAGAGTATATTACCGTTTATGTGGGAAAATATACTTTGCACGTCGATGCAGCCAAACGACAGCAGCAACTAAGCAAGAAGTATATGGGATTCGATTCGAAATCGTTTTCGAAAACTAAGCCCAACCTCCGTAATGAAAGGGCATGACAGGCTGTCCATGCACATGTGTAGAGTGTTACGGAAAAGCCCGTGAATGATCCGCAGAAGAAGCAAAAAGGTTTGAAAAAATAAAAAAATAAAAAAAAAATAAAAATAGAGGGCTCATGCAAACGGTGTCACTCGAGAGAGCGGAACACAGTGCGTAGGTTTAGAACGCGACAGTGACGAATGTAACTCCAGTGGTACCTCTCGAATAACTGGATTATAGGTGAGGTGACGGGATAAGCAATTATTGATTAAACTGAATGGAGATTTGGAATAAATGTTAGTGAACGAAGCAATTCAACAACCATTCAATTTCATGTGATCGCATTACAAGAAACAAAAGTTGAGAAGACCGCCATACCCCAACTAAAGAACAGGACCCTTGTGATCCGTGGAGAAAAGGTCCTGTCACAAAATGTCGGTGGCGTAGGCTTTGTCGTCCACCCGTCCATTGTCCATCTCGTCGACTCATACATGATTCTTTCCCCTCGCGTAGCCGTCCTCCGTCTTCAACTGTCGCATCATAAGAAGATCACTATCATCAGCTGCTACTCACCGACCGACGCAGCTGATGAGTACGAATTAAATGCGTTCTACTATCAGTCGGAGAAAGTCATCCGCTATGATAAAACATATGATAAATTTGTTGTCGGAAACTTCAACGCCAAAAAAGGAAAAGCCGACGTGAGCGAATACAGGATCGGAAATTTTGGGTTAGGAGAAAGAAATGAGAATGGGAACTGTCTCGCAGGACTCCTGTCAGCAGCATGTCTCTTCCATGGAAACTCGTTTTTCCAGAAGAAGGAAAGCCGCCGCTGGACATGGGAGTCTCCCAACGGCATGACTCATGCAGAGATCGACCATATTCTGACAAACAGAAGATGGTGCCTAGTTGACATATCGGTAGCCCCGTCATTCTGTACTGGTTCCGATTACCGCCTTCTTCGCGCGAAGATTCAAGTCAGCCGCAAACTGGAAAACAACTCTCTTCAACGACCACGAGAAAAAAGTTTAGCTGTATACAACGAGAACATTCTAAACAAAGTCCTGTCTAAATGTGACTGGCAGATTAAAGAAGAACCGACCGATGACTACGAGCTGCTTGTCGAAGGACTGAAAAGCTGTGCCGAATTCATCTCAGTTCCTCAAGCAAAAAGATCGGATCGCATCTCCATCACTAGGAAGAAGCTGCTCGAAAAGAGAAAGAAACTGAAGCTTGATCCAACTGTAACACTGTTAACATGGTTAGTAATAAATGCCAGCAGCGGAAGAGCTTTGCAGGGAGATCTACAACGGTAGAAGCAGAAGAAAATACTGAAAGCAGCAGAGAAAAGCAGTCTGAAAAAATGCCGTCGGGACTTGTGTGATTATAATGTTTCGCCGTCAGCACTGATGAACGAAAATGGGATCGTCAAAACGTTCCGCCATGATATGGAATTAATCGCGGAAACGTTCTACACCAACTTTTCCGTTTCACATTCCCCGTCCCGGATCCTAATATCCCCACTGGAGAAAAATCACTTGGAATTCTTCCGTCGACGGTTCGAGTTGCGATAGAAAGCATGAAAAGAGGCACAGCTCCAGGACCTGATAATATCACTGCAGATTTCCTTAGAGCTGGAGACCACAATTGATATGTGCTTCTCGAAGATCACATGGCAGGCTATTTTCAAAAGGAAAAAATCCCAGACCAGTGGAGGACGTCGCGCACGGTTATCTTATCCAAGAAAGAAGACCGAAGGAATCTCCGTAACTATTGTCCGGTGTGCTTGTTAAGTGTACTCTACAAGCTCTTCACGAAGATTATCCTCTCGCGCATATCAAGGACATTGGGTGAAGACCGATCAGTCGAGCAAGCAGGATTTCTTAAAGGATTTTGTTGCATGACCACATCCAAACCGTGTCCAGGGTCATCGAAGTTTGTCGGGAATACCACTTGCCTCTAGTCCTAACCTTTGTCGACTATAAGAAAGCGTTTGACAATGTAGAAATGAATGTAATCCTATCAGCTCTCGTCGATCACGGAGTGGACCCGTCCTGCATAAGAACTCTGTCCGACTGTTATCGGAACTGTACCACGAAACTACAGCTTTTCATTCGACCTTTTGCCATACCCATAGGAAAAGGCGTCCGACAGAGCGACACAATCTCGCCAAAGCTGTTCAGTGCTGCACTGCAGTGGATAATGAAGTCAATCGATTGGGATGAGAAAGGCGTACGTATTGATGGAAAATGCCTATCAAACCTTCGTTTTGCCGACGACATTATCATCTTCTTAAGAAGTACTAGCGAAGCAGAGACGATGACCAACGAGCTCAACAAAGTGGGGAAAGATCGGACTGGACGACAGATGGACGAAAAGAAGAAAGAATGGACTCCAAGAGAATGCAAACTTTCCCTTAGACGATCACCTACACGTTGGGCGGACGTGTTCGTAAACAAAGTTATTCGGCTGTATCCACAGCTGCAGTTGTTTTAAAGATCAGGATATGAGAGTCGGAAGCGCTACCATGTTCGAATAAGACCACCACCATGGACTACGATGGGGAGAGAAAGGAACGAATGGCATGTGTGCTGGGGTCCGCACATCTCGTGAAGGCGGATCGTCTGAGCATCCGAGTAAGTAAGTAAGAGCGAAGCAGTGCTAATCTTATTAAATATCACAATATTTCTACCACCGCATGTTTTTTCAGGCTCACAGACATTCTACTACGTTGGCGATCTTCTATAAGTGATAACGATGAATGGTTAATCATATCTATCTTCCTTGTAGAATTCCTGATTAACTGAGAGAACATGTTGTAGACCATGAAACTTTTGTCAGTAATGGAATTCTTAGTTTTCACACTAAAGTCTGAATTCTGAATAGTTCCTGGCGTTCCTTGTGCGACCATGAACTCCATCAACACGTGGAAGTTGCTACTGCTTGGTCAGCGCGAACATTCGGCACCCATTATGAGCGTGAATAGCTCGCCTGGAAAGGAATCGACTGGAAACGAGGTGGACGAGGGATTGACCTGCAATTTAGTCCATTCACCACAGTGCACGCTGGAGTCAGACTCACTTTCATTTCAAATCGTCAAATCGAGACGAGATCTCACCCCTTGGAAGCGTTAACAGCAATGCTGATGAGGAGAGCGATCATTGACTGAGTAAGGAGTTTCTTCTTAAAGAGCATTAGTCTACAAAGCAGACCAAATTTTTCAAAAAAAAAAAACTGCACTACCGTTGGCCATGTTTCGGCGCCTATGGCATCTGTATTCAGGAAGGTGGGGCTACATAAAAAATGTTAATAATGGTCGTCTGTAGCTAAAGCAGATACTTTAGTTACCTTTAGTTACCTTTAGGTAAAATGGAATAATATCTTACCAGCCATGGAATAACTGTAGGCTGTTCAATGAAAGGTGAAAACTAATCATCTTTTTTAGAGGCTGTGGGTAAAGAAATAATTCAAGGAGTTTACTAGCCAATTTTAAGTACACTGAAACCTCTTTTAAACGATCGAAAGTCCATCATTACCCACAAAAATCTCCAGTGAAGTTTTTTTTCAAAGCCGGCTGCGGCCACGTGGGAAGAAAATGGGTAGCACAGCTAAAACTGTGCTTCCTCTTCCCATGTAATTTTTCATTTACGTAGGCTACCTCTATGTTGGTTGGTCATCCATTGTGTTCCACTAATAACTTTGGTGTAGCTTTTCTTATTGCTTCTCATTTTTCAAAACATGCATACGCATGTACTCGGCCTTTTCCCATTGTCCTCGATCGAGAGCTCGACTAATCGCTAGAGCGCTAACGCGTCGAAACTGCCTCATACCTGCGAGGGTTAGCAAAGGTTTTCCTGAAGTGGAAAACTTAGAAGACTCCAGCGCGTTTATCTTGGAATTGCAAAGTAGAGAACCTGCTGATAGCATTCAACTTGACAGTGACGACAAAAGAGGATAAGCAATCCTCAATCCTCACATGATCTCACGCTAGAACGCCACCACATCCATGGATGACGGCTGGGAAACAACGGAAGCAATTAAAGTTCTAGTGGCCATACTCGCATGTGAGAATGGGCTATCAAAGTACTTAAGTTACTTGTTTTTGTTTGAACGTTGACAATTTTGAAAAAAAACAAGCCTCGGAGAACATCAAACATCGCTGGAACACTTTTAAAGCTCGAGAAGTTGCAGAATGAAGTGAAGCTTGCAAAAAAAGTCGTTTCCACATTAATAATAGTGTCAACATCAAGAATTTTATACCAGAAGGTAGAAAGAATTCTTTAGTTTTTGTGGTTTTCTTTTGCTTTTGTGGAAAAAAAAACTTAACAAAAGAGCTTAGTGCTTATGTCATCTAAATTGTTCTACCGACAAAGGGAAGAATTATGAAACGATGTAGGATTAAAGCGCAATGAAGTAAAAATATGTTATTGATGTAGCATAAAAGGATAAGGGATAAAGCTCTTGGCGTTGATCAATCCCTAAGGGATGCGCCATGCATTCGACTTCGATGTAAGGTAGCATTATTTAATCTCCTTAATTTGAGGTAGCAGCAAAGAAAAACGAAATGTATTAATTCCGTTCCGGTCGTTCTCCCCTATCCTTCCTCACAGGAAATGGGTGCTCCATTGTGGAGGGTGAAGTTGATGATACCATGTGAGAGTCTTCAAAGAACTTTAAATCTTGGGAAGAAACAGAGAGGGCACTATTGGTTATATCGATTTTTACAGCTATATCTATCGATAGGACTTCATGAATCTTTCAGATTTTTCACAGAGTGTTGGCATACGCGGTGGATGATGTCTAATAATAGGCCAAATCCTCTAAAACGTTATTATTCGAACATGAAACACATTTTGTTCCGCCGATATCATCGCGGTGATGCCCGGAGTTCGCTTCGTCTTCGGAAGTAATGGATCATTTAGCATTGTCTTCTTAACGTCGTTTCGGTGAGAAATATTAAATAGTTTCAAGGCAAAAGTTGTAAAACGGTTTTGTTTGCGCACTTTGGTGACCTGGATTGGTCGTCATGGTTCGTGCAGATGGGGGACGAACGCAGCGGAACCCGATCATCCCTGGGATTCACAACCGGCTCGATCTATGTCTGCTTGCCCCGATCGGATTTTGTTGGTTGCAATAAGTCATGGAGTTTTCCCAGTCATGTCTCTAAGAGTGAGAAAATGCTGAGAAGGAGTCTGGCGTTTCCATCAGGAAGCGTAGCTAAGAGTAAACCAATACCATGATCCACCACCGTACTACTACCAAAGTCGCATGGTGGCAAATCTCCTTCTGATCCACAAGAACAGACTTTGACTAGGCTTACCTCGGGATTCCGGAAAAATACAATGGCTTAAGCATTAAATCTCTGAAAAATGGAGACTATGCTGGGGCCCGCACAACCAGCGAGGACGAGCTAATCAAGTGTCAAGTGTCAAATGTCTCTAGGACTCCTAGGCCTACGAGTTGTTCATGAAGAAGTGCTTGTGGTCAACGAAATCACTTTGAATCCGAGGTCATGGTCGAACACACAAAAAACATTAATTTTGCTTCGATTAGCCCCTTGTGCGCCTCTGCTAAAGAAAGGAAAGATATATCATTGGAGGAAACCTGTGTAGTCCGGATGATTTATTAGTAAACAAGAAACCAACAAAATAGCTCGTTAAAATAACGTATCGCTAAGTTTTTTTCTAGGCTGTCGTTTTTGTCAATTTCCTTCGATAATGTCGGAAGGCAAGCAAGAGCACTGTAGAACCGCAAACCTTATACTACAAAACTTAGGTGTCGTAATGTCTTGTAGGACATTCCCGTTTACTGATAAGCCGATTTCATTGTGGATAACGATGGATTTGTCACTTACCTAATGCTGGTAATGAGGAGAAGGTGATAAGTCGACGGCACCGCATCTGAATGAAGGGATAGCTAAGAGAAGATCTGAACAAGTTTATGGTAACAAAATCCTCGAATTAGTTGTTGGCTCAAAACGGATTATGATCCGGCAGAATTCGTTTTGCAAAATAAAAGAGAAAGTTATCAGAGTGGATTCACTTTGAAACTCATTAGGGATTTATGGAATGTACGGTTAAGCATTGTGTGACCCTTATAGCTGCCTTCAAGAAGTTTAGCCGAAATGGTGGAAAAATCATTGGTGATGCAACGCATATATTTGGAACATCGCCAAGTTGTTCCTATATCGATAGATAAGGTAGAAAACAAACCGATGCTTGGGAGTGGAGGAAGCTTTCACATACAGTCTTCTATGAACTTGCCACTGTTAGAAGAGAAATGTGTGAAAAGTTAGATTGAGCAATGACCACAGTGATTAACAGAAAGTAATCCCCGGGTCAAGACAACTAAAGCAATTAGTCTTACGGAAGTATAGAGGGAAATGGAATGCTGTTAGACCCATTCACTTCTCACAAAATATCGCAGGAAACATCAGCAGCTGATCAACGATTTCACTCAAACACCCTCTCACCACTAACAAACATTTCCTCTCTTACGAATTATTTCCATTCCTACGCTTATAAAGAAACCGAAACACATAGATCGCCCAACGATAAAAACAGCTTAACGGAAAGGATATAAACTCGGTTTGAGAATTCGAAAGCTTCCAAGAGTCAAAAACAAAGGATATGAGAAACGCGACAAACTTTATCTCAAACAAATCTGTGGAAAAACATTTAAGCTTGATAAATAGGAAGTTTGAAAGACATTTTCGGTATTTAAGAAGCCATGTCACTTTGTAGACACTAAAGAGCCTTAAAAAAAAATTAAAGATGATCAAGAGAAGTCGAAGGGACATCAAAAGATGGAGTGGGCACTTGCAATCTTTCACACTGTAAAGCCAGACCTCTGGAAAGAAGGTCCATAGCGAGGGCCTGAAGTGGCGGTGTATAGGATGGATGCGTGGAGTGGGAGGATAATTGTGGTTGACCCGAGGAAAAACGGCGAACCAGCTCCGCCCTCTGTGAGGACGACGCGAAGGCGATCAGGAGCGGATTATCTCGGGAAAATCTGCAATACAGAATCAGGAACTGTGACTATCCATGCATTTCGCCCTGGTTCCACCATTTTAACAGAGAGCACTGGGAAACACTATCAACGCAGTCAAACGCAGTGTCAAAGTGCGGAGTCATCATACCGCTGCAGAAGCAGTGTATAGCACAGGAGATGAACTTCGCTTCATAAACAAGCAATGGGCGATCGTTTATGCTATGTGCAGCTTTTCTAACCACTTGGTACTGCCATACATTAAGACCTACGGATTTTAAAGGTTTGGCTGTAGCTTCTCCACGGCAAAAGTGCTGTACTTAAAAGTTGCAGGACAGAATTTCTGCCATTTCCTGCCATGAAATACTCATTTCGATACAAATAATGCATGGACTGTTAGGATCGCTTTTTAAAATTACACGAATAGCTGCTATTACCTGCACCGTCCTTCCTCAACATCGCCGTCCTCTTGCTGGCTTACGGACGCGTACTTCTTCACAATACCTAAAGATAAAGCTGTTCAGCATTGTTTGAAATACTTAAGTACCACTTCTCCCCACAACTTTGTCAACTGCCAGCTGATTATAAGACTATCGCTATTTAAGCACATTAAACTGTGAGCACATCGCTATTTAAGTAGAGTGTAAAGGAGTGGATAAAACAGTGGTAGTGATGTTCACCATCACGAGTATGGTGCTAGTTTAATACCGCCCCAGGTCAACTAAGCCTCTCATCCCTCCTGGGTCTCCGAATTGCTACCGGACTTGTCTGGGAAAACATAACTTCAAGTTGAAATATAAATTCTCAAGCAACAACAGAGTTACACGTTAAAGTTGGAAGATCCTCGTGGACAATGGATGTGAGGAAACGAATCTAATGTGAGAAGTACTGGGATCCGCACAGCAGACGCGAAGACGGATCAAATAAAATAAAGAAAAACAGATAGTGTACAATAAAGAGCGCAATCAGTAGCTTTTAGGCATCCGGATTCCTCCATGTCTTGGTGTGGTCTTGCGAATGGCTTTTACACTCGTTGTCAAATTTGGAAATAGTGACCACCACCCAAAAAAAGAACGTAGTGAAGTTTCGGGAGAGGTTCAAAATTAACACATCTTGTTTACTTAAGAGAAAGCAGAAGACACAAAAATTAAATGGAAAACATAGGCCGGAAAACATGGCGTTGTTCATCACATAGGAGAAGAAGAGTTTTTCTCAGTAGAACAAATAAAGAAAGAGTCAGCAGCAGTTCTCATCGACAGAGGTGTTGTGTGCCAAAGAAACTTAACAGAATTATTGTTTACCTCTTAGCCCTCATTACGACAAAGCCGTGGAAGGGCATTCTATGCGAACTTTTAGGTTTTTTTCCGAAATGGTCCTACGTTGTATAGTTTCATCATTGATAGCTCACCGAATTTGCCGCAAAGAGAAACTCTAAGAGAATTTACGCTCATATTGATGGTTTGGAATAGAACAAAGAGGTTGATAGACTACCTGAGTTTATAATGGCAACCAAGAGCATTCGTAACAATTCACAATTTCAGAAGTTCCTAAAAATCTTCAGAGCGAATCCTCTCAATGCCAACCATAGATGTCATCAAGTTGAGAGCTTTGTAGCTGTATAGACCTTACCAGATTAAATTGGAGGTGTCTTCTATACGATACTCTTGATGTCCACGTATTCCAGTTGGGATCATGCTGCCGTTTTCTAATCAAACAACTCTTTCAAATTTTTTGGTAGAAAAGGAAAAAGCCGCAACGTTCAAGAAACGAAATCCGGAAAACACTGCAAATGTATGACCAACGTGCAATTTTTTCACCAACCGAACACTGTTGCAATTCCTGAACGTATATCACAGCGCTACAAAGTGCCGTAAGATTGTTCTTCGCACTACTGCAGTGGTGGATGCAGTAGCTAGATTAGGACGACAAGTGGACATGTGCTGATCGACGGACCATCTTTAACTTTTTTCTCACCGACTAAAGGGTCCGTATCGCAGAAGCTGAAATTACACTTGCTGAGCTCAATGAAGCGGAAAAAAGTTGGATTACGAATTAATCCGGAGAAAAGCCCACTTCACGAAGAGCGCCTATTGTGGACAGAAAAATCATACTGCATTGATGACCGATTGAAAGTACCACAACGTACGAATATTCAAGAGTGTCAGCGGATATGGTGATCTCATTGACAGTAACTCTGTAGTACACAATGATCATCTGTTGATCAGCATGCCATTCTCGACCTACTCCGCAATTAATTGACGCGACACCTCCTCCAACTCTGTGAGGCAGCAGAAACATCTGGTACCATAGGTACATGAAAGAATTTTTTCCCATAATACAAAGAGTACTCGAGCAACGGATTCTGAAAATGGACTGGGACACTCAACACCAAGCCGGTTTCGAACCACAAAGATGGGCCGGCATCTATATTACAAGCGTAAACCAGCTATATTCGCAATTGGGAACGACTTTCAGATCCTCCAACAAAAGTTGAAGCTACAAACGATTACAATCGATTTTATGGGCGACGGCTATGAAACAACGAAATCGATGGGAGAAACAAACGACAATTGAAGATGAGTTTTACAGGCACCTACGTATCGTAAACTGGATTTTGAAAAGATACCTTAAACGAACACACCAATAAAGAAAACGACGGATCTCACAAACAACTATTGCATAACCCTAAGGAACCTGAAAGTTTGAAAGTCACCAAAATATGTGTGCGTTCAGAACAGCAAGAGATGATGTGCTAACATAGATTCGCACGGGCTGCAAGCAGTCATCAACTTATGTACGAACTTCCAACACTGCGGAAAAAGGTGAAAGAAAACCATCAACCAAATGCGACTATAATCAGCAGTTCTTTTCTTCCTCAGTGGGTAACACGTTAAAAAAACGGCTTTAAAGAAGGCGACACTGCCGAAACGTCAGCTTTTGTTGTGTTGTTTTTGTTCTTTGTATGGAAGTAGGCGTATAACAGCTCTGTATAACAACCTCGCGATTGCTGAACAAGCAAACGACGAATGAAAGAAAATCTCATGTGGCAGGAGAGCAAGCTATTAGTTAAAGTTGTAGAAGGTTAGATGAGTGCTCGCAACGATAGCCGATATTTAAGCAGTTACATGACTCCAAAGGACGTGCATGGTGCAGTGGCCAGAGGCGCCCTGGAACACACACGTGAAATCAAACCCACGCCCATGGCCTATCAAGCCCTCCATCTTTCCGGGGTCGGCAAATTGTACCAGACTTGTCTGGGTGGATAGCAGCACTGGCTCGATACATCGCTGGACCACCGCGAGTCATTGTAAAGGCCAGATGTGCATTGAATCACCTCCAAGATACTTACTGAAGTCGAGTGCATGGTGCCTCCCTCAAGGATTGATTAACGCCGAAAGCTTTACAGTTTGTTTTTTTATTTGCATGGCTAAGATTATCGCTCTTTGAGGTATGATAGCTCAGATAAGACAGTTACTGCATTAGGAAAGCAATGAGCAAGATCACCTACAAATTGTATTATGATTTCGCTGTTAGCAACGTGCACCTTCGCCGAATTCGCGTCGCACATATCGGTTGGAAATATAAGCATATAACGAATAAGCGACTCGTTTTATCTCCCACTTTGCCTCTTGAGAACTTGATCGCCCGTCTTTGTTGGTAGTGCGAATTTCAGAGCCATTTCTATTCTTATCTTTCTCACACACTCGTTTGTCATGGTGGTGGTCTGCTTCAGATACGGTGACGCTCGCGAGTATCTCGAGGATCTTCGATTCTTATTACTATATGGGCAGACCATCTGTGCTTCTCCATCGGTGTGCAATTTCCTAGATCTCCAAAATCGGAGAAGCCCTGAACATCTGAGTGGCACATTCCGGTTTGACGTGAGTGCCAGGTAATCTTCAGAAAACATTGTCCAAGTGCACTGTGGGCGATGCGCGGAGTTCTTGACGTGGTTTAAGTACCAACACACGTTTCTGCTGGATAATAGAGCGCTGGGAAAACTGCTGACCTGGAACGGTGGGCGCGGAGTTTTGAGACTGTTAGTTGGTCAGCAGGTTCTTTGAGAGGTGCGAGTTCGAGCCATATTGCTCTTCTTCTTTTGTGTAATTCTCTCTTAATATTGTTCTTTGATAGAAATAGCTGAGAGACAGGCGAAACGAACAACCCGCATGGCGTGGTGGTGAACGCGTTACTCCCCGGAAAGGACAAAAGCGCGTTCGCTCCCCACCGTAGACAGCTACGGTCCGGAGTTTCGCAAATATCTCAGCATCATAATTTTAACTTATTATTTACTTAGCAGTTACCAAAACCGACTTTCTGTTAGTCTTGGCATTGATTGATAATTCGATGTCTGCTTATTGAAGAAAAACATCGAATTGTTTTTTACTGGTTACTCTTTTTAATGACAGGGTATATTGCGAAGTGTAAATGCTGAGATATTTCGTTACCGAAGGCGTTATTACCCTTTCCGGCAGCTAACGCGGTCACCACCACACCATGCGGGTACCTCGTTTCGCCTGTCTCTCATCTATTTCTATGGATCAGTGCCATCAGTAATCGCATGGTCGAAGGACCTGTGGTGGTGAACGCGGTAGCCTCCGGAAAGAGTAGTAACACGTTCGTTCCCCACTGCAAACACCTGAGGTTTGGAGTTTTGCTAATATCTCAGCATCATTGCATTCGAGTAATCCTAAACAGGATTGGCAGAACACTGGACGAAGGATAGCCATGTGAGCAAGCAGGGTTCCGAAAAGGATTTAGTACGTTGGACCACATCCACACGATAACAAGGCTCATTGAAGTTTCAACTAAATCTCACAAAACGACATTCATGAAGAACGGATTGGTTTCGTATGCCCCATTCGCGCTCAACGGAACGAATATCTCCGAATGCTCCAGTTATGTCTATCTAGATCGGGAAATCAATATGATAAACGACTTAGCTGCAGAGCTGAGCAGAAGGAAACGAGCGGCTTGGGGAGCTTTCAAGAGCATCGAGGATATTGTAAAGAGAACAAAGAACACCCCTGACTCCGTGCCCACCTTTTCGACTCAGCAATACTTCCTGACCTAACGTATGCGTCAGAAACCTGGTCGCAGCGTTAGCAGGATGAAAGACTTAGCGTTATCGAACGCGCAGTCGAAAAGGCGATCGTAGGAGTATCCCGTTCCGCACAAGTAAGGGATCCGAAGCTCCGATCTGCGTCAACGATTAAAAATCAATGATGCCGTTCTGTATGCCAAGCAGTCGAAGATAAGGTGGGCCAGACACGTAATGTGTATGAATGACAACCGATGGACAAGAGCCGTTAGTGACTGGATTCGTCGGAATGTCAAACGTACTGCAGGAAGACCACCGATCCGATGGCCAGAGTTGTTTATGAAGAGCGTATAAGAAAGATATGATGCTCGACGAGCCCCTAGAGGGAGCAGAACTCACTGGGCTACTCTTGCACGCGACGTAGTGAAATTGAGAACTTACTGGGCCGGCGCTGGTATTGG